AAGAAGCGACGAAAAAGACGAAGAAGCAAGGGTACTGATGCAATTTTCCACCGATCCCGATTTCCCGTAAGTGGCCCACTCTTCCCAGCTTAGGACACCTCGTTGCAACCACGTAGAAACTCGCGCGTTACAGAAAGTGGTTCGTCACAGCCCCACTAGCAAAGGGGATTGGATTGGAAGGCTATGGGCAAGGCCCCACTAGCAAAGGGGATTGGATCGAGCACCCGAACCTGGGATGCTACTTGAGAGATGAAGAACATGGTGATAAATCTGCTTTTCTGCATCTCTCCTCAAACCCGATCCGGGTTTAGGCACTTGATAATCCAATCCTCCTTGCTAGTTGGACCTGTCCCTAAGGCTTGGACACCACAACATGGTGCCTGGGAAAAGTCCCAAAATCTTCGGAGAGCAGAAATAGTAGCCAACAGGGATGAGCAAGACAACACGGATCTCAGCGCAACAGATTTATGTTACCGCATTAGGAATGCTTCTCTGAAAGGGCAAGTCAACGTCCCTTTTTGCAGCACTCCGAGTCCATCCAAGTGCCTCCTTTCTGGATGAGATGGCTCAACCGAGAGGATAGACTGGGGGCTTGTGACAAGCCAAATTCCATACTGCGAGGCTTCACGTACCCCTCAGATTAAACCCTAAAGCAAGCTACGAGCACGGACCTCATCGGTTAAAGGGACAACAGGGAGTTGGGTTCAAAGTTTTTGAATGTAATTGCATGCATGTCCTTGTTTTTTTCACAATCTAGCTTCGCGAGGCCGGTTAGCGACTGCGTGGGAACTTAAATTTGAAGAAACGGTTATAATTTTGGTTGTCACTGCATTTTAATTTTCTTTCTAAGCGTGAGCGCGCACAGAGCTGTTCTTGAATCTTTGCAAGATTACGCAAGCTAGCTTCCCGCTTCTGCATGTGTGCCAACGTCTCTTCTTGATCCTTGCTTCGTCTACGTATATCCCTCATCTTCCTACCTTCCGTTCTTGCTAAGATGATTGGTCGCCAGTCGAGCTGGTCGGATGAAGCCGTAAGAGCGAACTTATGTACGGCTTGAATGGCCACCGAGATTGTGTGAAAATTTGATCACACCACCTTCCGAGTCTTCGTTCTCCCCACCCGTCTATAACCTTTCCTTTCCTTCGCCAACCCCTTCCTCTCCCTTCATCGTCTATCTCTCCTTACTCCCCCACATTTCAAACTGGTACCCCGCCGCCTTATTTGCTATTCGTTTGAGGCAGTTAGTTGCCCTGCGTGGAATATGC